GTTCAACCTTTTCTATGAAACAGAAACTAAACAATCAATTTCAATTTCATTTTATGAAGTCAGCATCAATTCATCTCCAAACCAGGCAGGGATCCAATGAAAAAGAAAACTATAGAGCAATCCCTCTGATGAAAATAGATGCAAAACTCCTCAATAAAATACTAGCCAACAAATCTCAGCAACCAATAAAGTCACACATTATGATCAAGTGTGTTTTATCCCAGAAATGCAAGGCTGGTTTAATGTATGTAAATCAATAAACATATCACTTTAACAGAACCAAAGACAAGAACCATACAATCATCTGATCATCTCATGCAGAAAATTCCTTTGACAAAATCCAACATCCATTCATGTTAAAAGCTCTAGAGGAATAGAAAAGAACATACTTAAAAACAATAAAGGCTATCTATTATGGAATAGCCAACATCATATTAAAGGTGAAAAACCAAAACCATTTCCTATAAAATCAGGAATAAGGCAAGTATGTCCACTTTCTCCATTCCTATTCAATACAGTTCTAGAATTCCTAGCTAGAGCACTAAGGCAAGAAAAAGATATAAAAGATATTCATTCACATAGGGAAAAAAGAAGTCAAACTGTCCCTAGTTGCAGATGACATGATCTTATATCTGAAGGACCCAAAAGACTCCATCCCCAAGCTCCCAGAGCTGGTCAATAGCAGGATATAAAATTAACCTATAAAAATCATTAGCCTGGGAAGGTGGCTCAGTGGTAGAGCGCTTGCCTTGCATGCATGAGGCCCTGGGTTCGATTCCTCAGCACCACATAAGCAAAAAGAAAAAAGCCGGAAGTGGTGCTGTGGCTCAAGTGGTAGAGCGCTAGCCTTGAGCTGAAAAGCTGAGGGACAGCGCCCAGACCCAGAGTTCAGGCCCCACGACTGGACCCCCTCCCCCAAAAAAGGAAATAGACTTGAGAAACGGGACCAAAATAAAAAGTCTCTACACAACAGAGGGCATAGTTACAAGCTAGGAAGACAGCCAAGAGAATGGGAGAAGATCTTTACCAGCAATATATCCAACAAAGGCCTAATATCCAACATATACAAGGAGATCAAGAAACGAACCCCTCCCAAACCTAATAAACCAATCACTAAATGGACAAAGGAGACAAGGAAAGACTTCTCAGAAGAGGGGGTAAGAATGGCAAAGAAACATATGAGGAAATGCTTAAGATCCCTGGCCATAAAGGAATTGTAAATCAAACTTTGAGATTCTATCTCACCCCTATAGTTAGACTGTCCAACATAGTAAATTTGAACAAGAAGTGCTGGTGGGGATGAGGGGAAAAAGGAACCCTACTGCATTGTTGGTAGGAATGTAAACTAGTACAATCACTCTGGACAGCAATCTGGAGGCTCCTCAAAAAACTAAACATAGATCTACTTCCCTATGACGCATCTATACCACTCCTGGGCATCTACCCAGCATCACAAACCAGGATACTATAAAGACACTTGAACATTCATATATTGCTGCACTATTCACAATGACCAAGTTATGAAAACAGCCTTGATGCTCCACAATAGTCGAGTTGATAAAAAAATATACACAGCTATTAGAATATTATGTCATTTGCAGGGAAATGGATGGACCTAGAACAAATCATGTTAAATGAGATAAGTCAAGCTCAGAAAGACCAATAGTACGTATTTTTCATTTCTTTCATATTTGGGAGCTAGATTTAAATAGACCAGGGCCTGATACATTATATGGGACTCCAGGCATTCACATACAGTGAGAGCAAAGGAGAATACTCTTCGGGGAGTAACAGAAAGGTGCAAGGCCTCTGATCATGTAAAATAATATTGATTGAAATGAATTCCAAGAGGTTTTTCCCCCATGTTGTCCTTTTTGTTCATTTATGAGTCTTAGAGGTGGCAAGGGAGGACACAGAAATGGAGGGACAAAGGGCAGACAAATGCAGCAATGGTACTGAGTAGTCACTATGTTAAAAGGAACTGCACAACTTCTGGGTGGGGACAGAAGGGAAAAACTGGGAGAGAGTGAAGGAAGGGGGCAGGGGCATTGTCCAAAAAGAAAGGTACTACTGCCATAATATTCTGCCTCATCTCAGGCTCAAAAGAATAGACCCAGCTGATCTTGACTGAAACTTCTGAAACTGTGAGCCAAAGTAAATCTTTTCTCCTTAAAATAAGTATGTCATAATTTTTTAAAACTTTTTTTTAAATTTTAAATATTTTTTTGGGGGGGGTCCGGTTGTGGGGCCTGAACTCTGAGCCTGGGCGCTCAGCTCTTCAGCTCAAGGCTAGCGCTCTACCACTTGAGCCACAGCGCCACTTCCGGCTTTTTTTCTTTTTGCTTATGTGGTGCTGAGGAATTGAACCCAGGGCCTCAGGCATGCAAGGCAAGCGCTCTACCACTGAGCCACCTTCCCAGCCCCAGTATGTCGTAATTTTTTGGCACAAAATATTACATGCATTTGGGTGGGGGTGCTGCCAGAACTGGGGCTTGAACTCAGAGCCTGGGCACTGTCCTTGAGCCCTTTCCTTCAAGGCTATGTTCTAACATTTGAGCCACAGTTCTAGTTCTGGCTGTTAGTGGTTAATTGGAGATATGAGTTTCACAGATTTTCTTGTCGAAAGTGGCTTTGAACTGTGATTCTCAGATTTCAGTCTTTTGAGAAGCTTACAGGTGTGGGCCAGGCCTACTGTGTGCATTGTATAGTTTCCCTGCTTTAGCCTTGGAATCTTATCAATTCTCCCTAGAGTCCTCACTCCTTCTCCCACAGTGTCTAGAGCTTGGAAATACATGTATATGTACTAAACATGTCCCTAGCTCCCTCCCACCTACCCAATACCTATCTTCCTAGTCCAGTGTGTGTGTGTGTGTGTGTGTGTGTGTGATACATGTATATGTACTAAACATGTCCCTAGCTCCCTCCCACCTACCCAATACCTATCTTCCTAGTCCAGTGTGTGTGTGTGTGTGTGTGTGTGTGTGTGTGTCCTAGTACTAGGTACTAGATATCTAGTATACGAACTTGGGGTCTGGGAGCTGTCCCTTAGCTTTTTCACTCAAAAGCTAGAGTTCCTATCCTTGAGCCATACCTCCATCTGGCTTTTGAATCTCACAAATTTTCCTGCCAGGACTGGCTTTGAATTGCAATGCTCAGATTTCTTACAAATTTTCCTGCCAGGACTGGCTTTGAATTGCAATGCTCAGATTTCAGCCTCCCAAATAGGTGAGATTTTAGGTGTGAACCACTGACACCCAGGTCCAATACTGACATCACTGATTCCTATCTACTGAGGTTCTCTTCTAGCTTTCTTCCTTTCTGACTTATAACTTCTTTCTCTGATATGCAAAACCTGACTATCATTATCTACAATAAATTTACTTGCTAGTTCAATCACAGCATGCAATTAAAGTAAGGACAGAATTCCTAACATATAATCTTGACAGAAACAAATTTTATAAACTAGACTTTATTTATATACAATTCTTTTTGTGCTTAGCTTTAGTACTGTTTTCCAAGGTGAGCTCAGTTCCTCTCTATTTCCCTCAATTGTGGTTCCTTTTCTTATCAGTTAGATCAATTCACTGTCACAATGTACACTCTATCCCTTCGTCCCCTGCCCCTAACCCCACCACATCTTGGTTGACTATAAAAATAAAATTAAAAAAAATTACACTTAGTAAATTTCAATTCTATGGTATGTAGTTCTATGGGTTTTGATGAATGCATATAATTATGCAAAAAAAATTACATATCAAACCACCAGAGTTTCAAACAAAATGTTTCTTACTGCACAAATATTTCCATGGTAATTCAAATTAGTCTGGCTTTCTCAGCAGCCACCAGAAGGTGGCAGGGTTTCTCTGTCAGAGGTTGCTTTCACAAGGCAACCAAGCCTACCTGTTACGAATGCAGAGGATCCACATTCCTCACATTTCATGGGTCATTTTCTCCAGGCAATGTCTAAAGAAGTTATAAGGTTAAAGTTCTTCTCTAAAACAGGTGAGAGTTTGGCTGCAAGCTCAGAATCTCAGGGTCCAACTGAATAAGCAAGATGATTCATTGGAGTGAAGAGTCAAGAGAACATCTCACAACTATGCTTTGATAAAATACTGACAGTGAGGGCAAGAAAGGAAGATGACAAAATCAAATCTGGGTGAGAGGAAGATCACTACTGACTCTTTTTTGAAGCTAGTACTAGTTGGTATTGGTGGCTGGGAAAAAGTTCTGTAAAAGGAAAGGGATTGTGGGGGAGAAAAAAGATTTCCAGGTAGAAGAACCTGAGTACATAAAGCATGGTATAAGGCATCCTTGAGACTGTTCAGTAAAAAGGGATGTTAGAAAGATGAGAGGGAAGGAGAGTACGAAAGGGAAGAGTGATAGAGGGGTGAGATTGAGTGGTGTATACTGTATATATGAGTAGAAATACCACAATGAAATCCTCCTCTGTGTTACTTATGTATAACAATAAAAAATTGTAAACTATCAGCTTGGAACTGGTGGCTCATGACCATAATCTTAGGTACTCAGGAGGCTGAGATCTATGGATCTCAGTTTAAAGCCAGCCTGGGCAGGATTCTGAGAGACTCTTATCTCCAATGAACCACAAACAGCCAGAAGTGGAGCTATGATAGAGCGCTAGCCTTGAGCACAAAAGCTCAAGGACAGTGCCCACGTCTGGTGCTCAAACCCCATAACTGACCAAAAAAATAAATGAAATGAACACCTACATTTTTATCTAAATACACATGTCTATTTCTTCATAATGGGTACATTTTAAAAAGATCCTTCTTAGCGGGGTGCTAAGCTCACCTGAGATCTTGGAGCACTACTCACCTTTCCGGTTCATGCCCATCTGGAGGCATTTGAGGAGGCGACAGTACTGGCATCTGTTCCTCTGCTTCCGAGACATGACACAGTTCTTGTCACGACTGCACCGGTACACCCGTTTGTTGCAAATGCTCCGCTTGAAAAACCCTTTGCAGCCCTCACAGGAGATGATCCCATAGTGCAAGCCTGTAGCACGGTCCCCACAAATAAGACAGGTTCGTTGTTCAGCCCGATCGTCTGGAACAGAAACTGAATAAATTCAAGTTAGAGAACAGTGGAAATAATGGTTTTAAGTCCACAATGTCTAAAACAGGAAACCCAATGGTGAATACTACACCAACTTTAGGCTAATCCATGGGCTATCTTTGGAACCTCTAACCCAGGGTGAGATTACCTAAATATATTACAAACCCAGAGAAGAAAAAGACGAGGGGAGGAGGAGGAGGGGGAGGGGGAGGAGGAGGAGGAGGAGGAGGAGGAGGAGGAGAAGGCGACGACCACCACTGCACACCACCAGGTTTGGGCCCTGGTAGCTCATGCCTATAATCCTACCTATTCAGGGAGCTGAGATCTGAGGATCATGATTTAGAACCAGCAGGAAAGATAAATCTATGAGATTCTTATCTACATTTAGCCAGCAAAAATCCAGAAGGGAAAGTGTGGTAGAGGACCGCATCATTCTTGATCAACAAACAAACAAAAAGCAAAAGTGCAAGGTCTTGAGTTTAAGCCCCAGGATTGGTATGAGAGAAAGAAGGGGTAGAGAGAAAGGAAGGAAGGAGACAGATGAATGGACAGGAGGGAGGGAGGGAAAGAAGGAAAGAAAAGAAGGAAGAAAGACAGGGAGGGAGGGAAGAAGGAAGAAAGAAAGGGAGGGAGGACTTTCCCTCAGTTTCATCATCACTTGTACTACTAGGATCCAAATTAGAAACCCAAGAATGAATTTTGACTCCTCCTCCCTTCTCTCCCTCAGTCACAGCCATATATGTTACCTCATAAAAAGGTGGTAAAGATGACTAGGGAAGTGCCTAGCCAATATACAATGTACATAAATACAGTGTACATAAATGACAGATGCAATTAACACGTTTAAACAACCTATTAAGACAGGGATAGCAGCTTGTATGTGTAAGACTGCTGACTTGGGAGGGTGAGATAAGAAGGCTCCAGGCCCAGGCAAATAGTTCATGAAAACCCATCTTAACAAATAGAAAACTGAGAGTGATGTGGTAGAATGCCTGGCTAGCAAGCCTAAGCCCTGAGTTCAAACACAAGTACTGCCAAAAACCAAACCAAATAGAAGAATATTTTCAATTAAACTGCTAGCCAAACAAGAAATATTTATTAAAAAAAATTGTGAATACAAGTTGCTGACAGGCCTAAGCATATAGCAGAGTGGTAGAGCTCCAGCCAAGTGTGAGGCCCTGAGCCTGATCACTAACACTTCCTCCCTGCCAAAACAAAACAAAACAGAAAAAAAGCCTCAGTAAAAAAATCTACATTCTAAGCCAGATGCTGGTGGCTCATGCCTATAATCGTAGCTACTCAGGAGGCTGAAATCTGAGGATAATGGTTTGACGCCAGCCTCCAGCTGCCAGTCAGGGTAGGAAAGTCCGTGAAACTTTTATCTCCAATTAACCACCAGAAAACCGGAAGTGAAGCTGTAGCTCAAAGTGGTAGAGTGCTAGCCTTGAGCAGAAAAGCTCAGGGATAGTCCTCAGGGCTACAGTAGGCCCAATATCCATGACTGGCTTAAAACAACAACAACAACAAAACCCTACATTCCAGCAGAATATCCATACTCTATTCAGGCTCAGTGCTAGGATACAAATTAGTCATCACGATCCCCAAAGTCAAGGAACTCACTATTAACATACAAGTTCATTAAGGGAGAGGAGAGATTTAGGCTAGAACAGTTTTTTTCCTTGCTTCGAATTGTCCTGAGTACCAAGCAATTACTAAACAAGAATTATGTCACTAAAAGACACCTAAGGTGTGCTAGTGCTAGGTGAGGTCCTTCCCAAGAGGTGCCAGAACCTCCAGGGAAGGTCTGGATCTGAGTCCAAGGCAGGAAACCAGAGAAACCTCATGAAACAGATGCAAGACACAATAATGGTCTTAATCATTAGGCCTTGAAGAGAGTCCTAATATTTAAAGGAACTACGAAAGTCCCAACAGAATCTGTGGAAAAAAGTAACTAGACATGTTCTTACTACTACATATATACCACCCCATATTAGCAACCAGTCTACTTTAATTTGGTTACTACAGGTTAAAACCTACGGTTACTAAAGGCCCCTTCTCTCACTTCTCCATTCAGCCTTGCTGTTACAAGATACCACCCCCAACCCAAAAAGGGCATTTGACCCATTCCAAGGACTCAGGTTACAAGAATTACATTTTGGAAACTGATTTTTATCAAAACCTGCTATTTAAACTGTGATGAAGGCCAGATCTAGGAAGTGGAGAGTAATGCTGCTCACTTAAGCAAAATTACACCGACAACTAAGGCAGACTGGAATTTGCCTGGCAAAAGGGTATTTAAAACAAAGGCAATCTGTTTGACTTAGCTTACTGGCTCCAACTCCCTGATCAGTTGCACAGTGTCCTAAATGCTGATTCCATCGCCTCACTATTTGTGACCTTAGTGATGAATGCGAATAGACTCCAGGACTTAATTCTAAACATTGTTATACACATGGAAAGTTACCAAGACATTTTTTTTTTTTTTTTTGGCAAACAGAATGAGAATAGGTCCAATAAAACATGTCTCTTCTCAGGGCTTATTATACTAAATCTGGTCAGAATCCTAGAGAAACTAACTGTTTTTTGTTTTTGTTGGACCTGGGGCCTGAACTCTGGGCCTGGGCACTGTCCCTCAGCTCTGGAACTCAAGGCTAGCGCTCTACCACTTGAGCCACAGAGCCACTTCCGAGAAACTGGTTTTAATGGTTAAATTTAATTATCAATTTGATTGGCTTGAGAAGCACCTATGAGATCAGTAAATATACTTCTGGGTGTAGGCAGTACCACTCCACAGTCTGAGGACCTAGAGAAAATCATGAAAATAGAGAAAGTACCTGCTAATGAGGGCACTCTATTTTCTGGCTGCCATGACATAAACTCCAAAGCTCTGAGATGGCCTGTTTACCATGTGTGAAACCTCAGAAACCACAATAAAATAAATCTTTCCTCTTCTAAGTTGTTTCTCTCAGGCACATGCAGTGAAAACATATGACTAACACAGTGGTCTTCTTAGTAACTACATTTTCACCCTCAGGAAACACATGGTTTTCCTTAAAGTGTGCTAACTGGTCTCTCTTTCACCAGGACCTCAGAACTAAGCAAGAACCTAGTGGGCTGATAACTGAATTTTGGCCACTGGTAGGTCATCTCTGGGCTGGCCTACCAGTTTATCATCTGAAATTCTTATAACTGTGTGCTTTTACTTGAAGGCAGAGAAACTATACATGACTGTGCATATGACTATACATAGTCATTCAACTGGTATTCACTGGTGTTTGCTTTGTGGTTGGTACTGAGATATGGGAAGGGAAGATGATCTGTCCTATGAAGCAATTTAATAGGTACACACATAATTTAGTAAAAACAAGTGTTAGAGGCACCACTCATAGTAATACTATGGAGTACAGAAGCTATGCCTACTTATTAGATTATGTCCCAAATAGCAGTGTATCATAAGAGAGGCCTGGGTATTTGCCAGGCTGGTGAAACAAGGCAGTGTCTCCTAAGCAGAAGGGACAGCATGAGCAAAGGCATGATAATGTAACACCACTATAGAATTTAGGTGAGTTATATGGCCCATATAGGCCAGAAAGATTGGTTCTAGATATAAGAGAAACCCTAAGGAGAACTCTGATCTATAGGTGAACGCCACTAGACTCAAAGCAAATTACAAGTCCTTTTCACTTTCCTGTCAGTACATTGCTAAAAGAGAATAGAGTCTGCCTCATAAGTAGAGGTTTAACACTTCAAGAATCTGATGCTGGGATTTAGGAAGGGCATGCTATAGTCTTACCAAGCAAAAGCACAAACTGCCAGGTACTAGAGGAAAAAACCTCCATTTGTGGTTCTTGGAAGTTAATCTGTCAAGGTGCCATCTGTCCTCCAGGGGAATACTCCAGACAGAAATGAAGTTGAATTTCATGAAAGAGAAAAGATAGTCTTACTAATCTTACCTACAGTTTTTAAAAACTAGTTATAAGGTGTCTTTGGCTTTCAAGAGCAAACTGAGCTGGTTTCACTGCATTGTGGCTTACATTTTGTGAAATAGTTCATGACCTATCAACTAATTATCATAACACTTCCTGAGAGGACATTTTAGGTGCTTTTGTTTAAATTTCATTTTATAATTATCATACAATAAAACTGTTCTAAGATGGACTTGTGTAATCACCACACAGTGAACATACAGAATAGTTTCTTGGTGGTTGTACCATCACTTTACTCCCAATTCCTACCTACCATCTGATCTGCTTTCCTTACCAGATTTTATCTTCTGGATGAGTAAGAGGACACCACACTCGTGAAACTAGCCTCTTTCACACAATACAATGCTTGCCTTTGAGGCTCATCTAAGTTGTTACATGAATCAATAGTTTGTTCTTCCCTGACCTCCCCAAGGTGCTAGGTGTTAAATGGAAGGCCCATGCAAGTGGTCTGTCACTGGGCTCCATTTTTCCATTGTATGTTTGTTGATCCATTCATTTACCTCTTGAAGGTGTTGTTTCTGATTTGGGGTGAATATGAATAAAGCAGCAATTAGTATTCATGAGCAGTTTGTATATGAGCCTACACTTTAATTTTTCCATGACAAATTCTTAGGAGTAGAATTGCTGGTCATGGGTAGGATATGGTTAGTTTTAAGAATCTGATACAGGGCTGGGAAGGTGCTCAGTGGTAGAGCGCTTGCCTTGCATGCATGAGGCCCTGGGTTTGATTCCTTAGCACCACATAAGCAAAAAGAAGTGGCGCTGTGGCTCAAGTGGTAGAGCTCTAGCCTTGAGCTGAAGAGCTGAGGGACAGTGCCCAGGCCCAGAGTTCAGGCACCACAACCGGACCCCCCCCCAAAAAAAAAAAGAATCTGATACAGAACTGTTTTCTGTAGCAATTTTATCAGTATTCTGTATACATTTATATCTAGTAATAACATGAATATTCTAGCTGTTTGCTATTTCCACCACTACTTGATATTATTTTTCTATCATTCTAATGTATACTTTTAATCT